AGATTTGTTAGCATTTTTACTAATAATTGTTTCTAAAAAATATTTTTACCAAAAGCATTTTCAACTATTTAAAAAATACATCTAAACAAGCTCTATAATTATCCAACAGAGCTTTAGGTTTATAAATTTCTTTAGGTAGCTGAGTGTGGCGTCCGAATAAGAATCAAAATTATTAACCCCATTAATTTTATACTTGATGTGTGACACATTGTACACTGTCGTCACTTTTAGCAAGCAGAATGCATGACATGCATACCATGCATGCAACACATGTCCATGCATTGTTAGGGTTGGATAAGCTTACAGTGGTTACTGTCTCCAATTTTCCATCCGAGTCAGACAATTTGTGGGGGTTGGTGAATTCGTACAAGCTCTGCTTCGGATTTCACTGAAATTTAAGACTTAAACAATTTGAACCATTCAAATTGAACTTAGTAATTTTTATTAACTTATTATGTTGATTTACCTGATATAAATATTCTGATTTCACATTCACGTAAACCAAGATCTAATTTTTTGATTCTTAGGTTCCGAACAAAGATCCAGCAGGATCCAAATTCGGTGAATCCAATTTCCAGTTTGCCATCATTACAAATTAACACCACTTAATTGATTTATTCAAACTGTGTGGGCTAATTTTAGTTGCATTTAGTCCATTCGACTGAGGCTAACTGACTAGTGCATGCAAACTACACGTAGATCAAGGACTTTTTGACGAAACATATTCATTAGTCATTGTGGTTCTAAGCCTAACTGATATAGATAGGAAAACACTAACCTTTGAAAAGAAGAAAGGTAATATTGATTTTAAAAAGAATTACAATATTCGAGCAGCACAACATGAAAAAACATACAATACTTCATCACCGAGAAGAGAAATTAGTATAAAGAACAAATGATACTAAATACGGGGAAAACCTTAACTAGAACCAACTCCAACTTTACATATGTAAAAAGTTCGATGGCAAAATTAAAATAATTTGGAGATAATCACACAAAATACAACACATGGAAAAATCCCTATTCAACCACCAAACTACACTTATTTTGGCCACCAATATAAATTGATTAAGCTTATTTACGGCAACACACTCTGATATTGAATTTACTTTTACATCTGCCCATTAAATTTCAAATTTCCTCACTTAACATCTTGAAACTTATCGTATCTCATATTAATTACCTTCTACAATCAAAATTTGTCAATAATCCCGTTAAAACACTAATAACAGCACTAAGTGACAAATCCATACTAAAAGCAAACTAAAAACTTCTCTTAAAACGAATATAAAACACTCATCAAACTAAAGGAAGTTTCTTTTGCTGAGCTTTTTCTAGTGAAAGGAATCAAATGCAAATAAGAAAGGAAGAAAAAGACTAGATCAAAAAGTTAAAACAGCTTTAAGCCTTCACCTTTCCCGATCGTTATAATACATCATGGAATTGAAATCCTTCGTGGTGGTTAAGTTCTTCCAAAGTGTTCATTAACAAGCAGAGAAGTCAAGGTCTTCGACAAAAGTTTTCTACCGAGAGTTTCCACTCAAAACCATCGAATATTAACTGCTTTGTATAAATTAGAAGATAGGAGGTGGTTTACTACTTAATTATTATGTTTGATTGACTATTAGGTCTACTGCTAAATTGATTATGTGTACTGATCGGTATGTGATTTGTTGTCGTGCGCTCAGTTTTCCAGCCAATTTACCATACAACTAGTTGTATATTCTGCTTTTTTCGCTACATCAACATAAGTATCATGGATTAAGTTCATAGTAATACGTCAGCAATTTAACTTAACATTATTATGGGCAAAACAGTTTAAATTTTCTCTTTAAACTTCACTACTAAATAACCTAAATTATTTATCAAAATGTTTTTACTGGACTAAAATTGTAAACTAATCGTTCTACCACCCACCACAAATTCTAACCTATACTAAGAACCAAACATCACCAGAACAATGAGAGATCTAGAATTCGAATATAGGGTGGTCCTAGTGTAAAAGGTCCAAGTTTTTTATATAAAAATTGAGAGCGAAGCGCGCATGATAAAAAAAAAAATTCAGTTTATTCAGTGAGACATTTCGTCAAACACTTGATAAGTGATATTAAGAGAATTTGAGTGTTGTCTATGTAACCTGTCGAGATATGTCTAGTAAGTATTACATCAAACAACTAATAGGTATAAAAGAATCCGTATAAAACATTCAAAAGATCCTCTGAAGAGCTTCATATATATATATATATATATATATATGTTTTCAGAACTCCAAGTGATCCTAGATCCATCTAGGTCTCAGGTGCATCCGTCTCTGCACACAGACCAACGAACACGGGACGCGTGAGACGCATGAGTTTCAAAACTTTATTATTATTATTAAATTGTTTCTGGTGACCCTGTCCACTCTTGGCATTTTTTTGACCATGTCCCAGTAGAGCACGTTTTAAGTGCTTTTGGATTAGGGTTTAGGTATTGGTGGGTGGGGTGTTCACTTTTCGGCCATCTATGGACATTCGGACGACAATAGTACCCGTAAAAAGAGACTGCCCCAACCCCTTGGGCATTTTTTGTGGAGCCCTTCACGAGTCGGCCTGCGAAGAGTTGATGAAGAACATCGTGTCCGTTTATCGTAAATTGTGCTGTCAATTTTCGTTAGGTAATATTTATATTTGATTTTTAAATTGTAAATTTTAAATGATTTCTGACCGTATGATGTACGATAAAAATATACAATCATAGAATCCTTGGATCCTCAGGAAAATGATCCCTTATCCCAAGTTGCCAGAGCTGATCCTGGTACGGAGCAGGTGGACTCCACCCACAGGCATCCAACTCAAAAGGCTTCGAAAATCAATAAACGAAACGGAATAGATTCTCTTTTTTTTTTTTTTACCTCTTTTTTTTTTTTCTTCTATTTGAATGGTCACGGTTAAGCAATGTTAATATTTTATATTGACTTTTTTAGAGAGAAAGACAAAATAGAAAGCAAAGGAGGGGAGGAGAATACGATGAGAGAGAGTCCTACTCCAAACGAAACGGTGTATATAAGTGAAATTATTGGACTATCTCCCACTAAATAAGACTAAAAGACATCACCATATTTTCTAAGGAAGATGTCATATATGACGTGGCAGCTGAATTATTTGACTCCTTACTTTTTAACTGTCTTTTTTCTTAATAGCAAATAAAGATGGAATCAAATGCCTTTAAATTAATTTTCTTTTAATGCATGTGTCCCACTGACAGCCAATAGAATGAAAACTAAAATCAATTTTAATTATTTTTAATAGATAATGTTGCTATGGAACACAATATATTAATAAAATAAATAGTTGACATATTTGTCGGAAATGAAGAAGATTTAACATATATATTCAATTGGCCACATCAATCAAAATAAAAGTTTGACATATTATATACGATATTTCTTTTAAAGATACTCTTAATCGCGTATAAATATTACAGAAAGCGATCAAACGATAGAAATTGAAAGGCGTTGGTTTCTTTGCCTTGTGTTTGTTTCCTTATATGGACAAAAGAGGTCCTTTTAGTCGTATTATTACAATTAATTGTATTTTGATGTTTTCTACAACGTATTAGCAAATGGGTACATGCTATGAATGTGAAAGTTTTGGCTAGAAAAGTTTTAAATGTGGAAAAAAAACAATAAGAGCTAATCAGGCCGCGGCACGAGGGCTAATATGTTAGCGTCTAGCAAATGGGTACAGATTGTGAATATTAGCGCCGCAGAAATAGCTATCTTGAATGTGATATTTTAATTAATAAACGTCTAACATCTTTTAAAACTTGAAAAAGTAATAAAGATATAGAGGGGCTAATATATTAGCCCTCATGGCAGGAGAATAAAAAATTTAGCACTCAACTATTTCTTAATAAATTATATTATTTTAAGGGCTAAAATTGTTCCCAGGACTTGGTTTATCCCTCCATGATTCGAGTTCGCCTAATGAGAATTCAAAGTTACAAATGGAGTGTAAATAGAAAAGTGTGTAAGCTCAGATAGGATGTGATGTTCAAATAGAAACTCAACTTTTAGTCGATGCAATTTCAAAACTTCCAAATTAAATTTTAAAATTTGTCGCTAAAAGAAAAAAAATTCAAAATTTAAAACCTCCTGGAAATTAACTAAACAAATTGAGCTTACTATTACACTTTGTTTGGATGATAAATTTTAAGATTACTAAGAAATTTCAAAACGAAGGAATTTTATTTTCTAGAATATGTGAATTTTCTTATTTGGTTAATCTAAAAGACAAATAGAATTTGAGTATGAATTTTTTTTTTATCTTTACACTCTCATTTATAGAAATTGAGAAATAACATCTATTCACATAAAATTTGAACTTGAAAATTGAAGGTTTCAAATTTCAAGTTTTTTTTTTTTTTTTCCACACAAAAATTTTGCATTTCTATGTTTATAAATCAAAGTAAGGAAAGAACTTGCAAATTCCGAGTTTGTCAAAATATCAATAAAATTTTCCTCATTTAAATTCAAAACACAGTGTTGGGCTTAGTGATTAGTGGACTGATGATGATCATCATTATCTAATTGGGCTGAAACTGACTAATGGGACTGATCAGTTCGGTCCAATAGATTGGGTTCTGCTTGGGCTGAAACAAAATAATAGGTAATCATCAGTCCAGTCCAATAGACAATTTGGGTTTGACTTGGGCTGTGATTAATTATACCGAAATTAAATTTGGGCTAAGCCCAAATCGAAATAACACATCGATGATCGAACTTATCTGATTTCCTGGAACCCTCCAGTCTCCACACCCTTCTTCTCAGTAGCTCAACAGATCACTCATATAAAGACAAACGACGTGTCGCAAAACGAAGACACCTCATTACATGCAACCCCTGCATGAGAAGCTCCTCAACACGTGCCCTACTTCCATAACACGTGCCACCGCTATTCACACCGCCATTCTTATATAAACCCCCTCCCATCCCACAACATTTCACACCATTAACTATATATTTCTTCGATCCGGTACTCTCTCCCCAAACACATTCTGATATTCACACCCAAATATTTTCTCAATCCGCCCATCTCGGGGAAAAAATGGCTGATACACAAGGCCACCAGCACTACCAGCAGTCCCTTCGTTTCCAAGGCGGCCAACAAGGCATGCAGCAGCAGCATCAGAAGTCCTACCAAGTCGCCAAGGCGGCCACAGCTGTGACCGCGGGTGGGTCCCTTTTGGTGCTCTCTGGGCTGGTCCTTGCCGGCACGGTCATAGCTTTGACCATAGCGACCCCCCTGCTTGTCATATTCAGTCCGGTTATTGTCCCGGCCGTGATCACCCTGTCCCTCATAACAATGGGGTTCTTGACCTCCGGCGGGTTTGGTGTGGCGGCGGTGACGGTGTTGTCGTGGATCTACCGGTACGTGACCGGGAGGCACCCACCTGACGCGGACCAGCTAGACTCGGCTCGTTACAAGCTGGCTGGGAAGGCGAGGGAGATGAGGGACAGGGCTGAGCAGTACGGTCAACAGCAGGCTTCTTAAACTGTGTACCACCAAATACATATATATGTGTGTGTCCGTGTTGTTAGATCCGGTGGTCATGGAGTTTTAAGGAGATCGTACGGCTACAATAATAATAAACATTGGAGTTTGATAAAGATTAGGGCCATGCGCATGGGTTTCTCTCCATCTCTGTAATTTCATGTGTTTTAGTCGTACGAGAGTTGGGTTTCTGTCTGTGTTTATTTTGTTAATTAAGTGTATGTTTTTCTATCTGGGTCTTTTCTCTTGTAATGAGTTGAATATTTTGGAGCTGAGACCTTGTTTGATTAGTGTATTTTTACTATATTCTTGTGAATTTTGCGGGATTGTTGATCATATTTGGTTCGATTGGGTGAAGACGATGATAATATGCGTACTAATTACGTGGCTCCATGGAGGACGTGTCACCGTGCATGGCACCCTCTGAGCGAGGCAGCGTTACGAAATAGATTCCCATAGAAATAATTAAAAAAAAAAAAGTCCGGTCATATTTATATACCATCACTAACTAAATGGGTTAGTTTTTAGCATCTTAATAATTTATTATTTTAAGTTTTATTTAATTTTATTGGTTAGTTGAATTAAATTATCATATTAAATAAGATTTCTAGATATATTTTGAATGTTATTTGTCATTAAATGATTAAGTTCTTGGATTTCTGATGATGTGGCTATTTGAAAAAAGATTGGAAAATTTATATTTAGACTATTGAAAGAGGTAAGGTAGTAGTGTGTATGAAAAGGACGTGAGACTAGCAAAAAAAAAAATGAAAAAGATGTGAGAAATGGTTTAGGTATTTATAGAAAAAATATTAGGAAAACTAATTAAAAGGATTTGAAAACTTTGAGTTTTAATGATAAGGACAAAACAAAGGGTAAAGTGAATAGTAACATGATTGATTTTTTTAATGTACAAATGTGGTTTTTTGTTAAAATGAACAGTATATGGAGTTTTTCATTAAATTTTTTTTTTTAAAATTAGATGTTTAAATTTTTTTTTTTTAATTTTGACCTAAAAAAAATATGGGCCTTTCAAACGGGCTACCTGGTTGACTAAGAATGGCAAATCCGATGGTTAAAGGGAAGAAACTTGGCCTGATTGGTTTTTTTTTTGTTTTTTTTTTTTTTTTGTTTTGGAGCATTTCGAGCTAGATTTTAGCCTATATTCATATAGCCATCTCCATTGGAGATGGCCTAGATTCATCCACTAAAATCATTAGGGTATTTTCACTTGGGTTAGTTTTTTGAAAATTGATAATGCTAGGGAAACTAAAATTTATAGATAAAATTTTGTAACTGAATGACATATAAATTGATGATTGAATTATACAAATGGTGATAAACGTGCTTATTTTTATCAGTAATACATCATTTAATTTGAAAATTTTAAACTTAGTCTCCTAGCATTACCCGAGAAAACACACCTTTTACTTTTGTCTATTTTTATTTAGAAGAAATTTCATTCACATCCGTCTTTTTGCTACTCCATTGATTAAAACCTTATTCTTTTTCAATTTTTGATCAAGATCCTTGGGTATTAATAACATCATTAATTATTTCAATAATAAAATATTTTTTATTTCTAAATATATTAATTTAGTGTTAAAAATGTTATAATTAGTATATTTATATTTATGGCTAATTTTTTATCATATATTTTTATTTTTAGTTTGTACCCATTTTTAATTTGCAAACATTTTTTAATTTGTACAAATTTTTTTTTTTCAGTTTTAATTTGTACTCATATTAATTTCTTTTTGTGCCCATATGTTTATCGTCATGTGACATTGTATATATGACAGCCCGTCCCGGAATTTTGTAATATTATTGGTCTCGAACGTGGAAGTTACTAAAATTCCCTTGGACGTTGAAGTGTGTTGTGTGTATTGTGTACTTAGGTTTTGGATCCATCCATTATTTTCCTAAGTTTTTAGAACTAAGGGAACTAAAAAGGACTTAGTTTTCGTTTGGTTTGTGACCAACTAGGACAACACACACAAAAACACCCGTACCTTTTCTCTCTCTCCTGTTGATTCTTTTTCTCTCGGATTTTTCAGTTTTTTCGGTACAAATGTACAAACAAACACCAAACTAAGACTTTTCTTCACAGATCGACCTTTTGGAGACTAGGTTTAAATTCCTTGCAAGCTCTGGATCACAACTATAGCTTTGGTTGGACATGGAAGTTTGGAAAACCCGAGAACCAAAGATCTCCGATTAGAGTATTGTTCATGCAATCGTAAATGCATGATTTTTAGAGGATTTCAAGCTTATAGGGAGCTTAGGGACCTCTCCACGAAGCTCGGAGAAGAAAAATGACATGATTTGGACGTCGGGAAGTCAAGATCGATGCATTTGAAGTTTGGCAGGATTATCGAAGGTTCTCCGGCAAATTTCCGTGGATTTAAGGTCCCAAAACAGGTATGGTTTTGTTCTACTCGTCCTAAGCTTCAAATTGGTGCAAGTTTTACTGATTTTGGTTAAGAATTGGACGAGATACGAAGGTTTTTGTGTTTTCCCAGTTCTCGGTGAACGCAGCGGCGACCCAAGGTCAGAGACGAAGAATATTCCGTCAAGTTGACGGAATATTCCTAACGGAGGGTAACGACGTCAGGTAATTTGGACGGAATATTCCTTTATTTTGACATAATATTCCTAACAGCGGTTAGGGATTCCCTGCTCGTGGCAGCGCGTGTTGCTGTGCACTTGCCCGCGTGTGGGACGTTGGAAATTTTTTCTAAAAATATGGGGATGTTCGTGAGGTTGTGTAGCTCACGTTGGTATATTCAAACATCCCATTTGAGCAATGTATGAGAAGTTATTAACTAGTTTTGTCTATGTGTTTTAAATAACGTTTATTCAGTTATTTCGCATATAGATGAGACCTATCCCGAGGACGAGTGCAGTCAAGGGAGACTCGGGGGCTACGACCCTTCGACATACCAGTGAGTGGGCTTTTGGTTTTCAGTATATATTTATATACTTGATATTTTCCTAGAAAATGTGTTTAAATAAAAGTATGCTTTGAAATGCCATGCATATAAATTTATATTCAGCATATGAATTAGTATATGATGCATAATATGAATTGGTGATGTGGACGCTCAGGTAAGTATCAGGTGAGTTATGTTTTGTTATATGAGATATTGATAATGTGAGACGTGATTGAGAGGTCATAAACCTGCACTCCGGGTGATTGTGATTTAGCCAGAGATATGTCACATGCCTGTATATAATGTCATCTCATGTTCACATTGGATCCAATTTAGGTGTACAGTCTTGTCGTACAAACTACTATAGGTGATTCCGACTTGTAGGCGATTAGCGATTTATCGCACAGCTATCATGAGAGCGTAGCATTGAGCATAACTATATTACACCCAATCTTGTCGTACAGACCCTTACAGTGGTTCCGACTCGTGTGCAGTGTAGCACCGTATAGGTCATTTGCGGTGACTCCGGCTAGATTGACTAATAATGAGCTATGAATTCAGCCGTACAGACCTTTGCAGGAGTTCCGGCTAATATAATGTTTTCCATGAACTTATTTTCACATGAGTTACTCATTCTATTTTATATTTGGCATGACATACTTATGAATATGGATATGTAAAGCATGATTTGAAATATATATATATATATATATATATATTTATATTCCATTTCTGGGAAAATTATACATGTTTTACGGCGAGGGGTTAGAGCATTTGATAAATGAAATGGTTTTGAAAAACTTTATTTTGCCCACTCACACTTTCTGTTTTGCGCCCCTCCAAGTTTTAGATAAGCTAGTTTGTTGGTGGCTCACGATGATTGATTGGAGGTTCTGATAGACTATCACAAATGTAGGGCATCTTTGGGTGTTGTTTAATTAGTACTTGTTTTATGGATTGAACTTAAGCTACTTACGCTCTGATTGTGTATTCACACATATTCTAGCACTTGTCTTAATTAGTACTCTTATGAGTAGTTTTCATTTATTTGTATTCTCTATTATCATTATTGCTTCTGCAATGTGCACATGATTACGTCAACCTCATGTGACGGCCAGCATGCCCTGATTCGGGTCGGGGTGTGTCAATATAATTAATCAATGATAGAAAAATTATATATGGTATATTTATGTTTTATGGCAAAACTTTGTATCATATATTTATATTTTTAGTTTGTACCCACTTTTAATTTGCAACCTTTTTTTTTAATTTGTAGTATTTTCTTTTTAGTTTTAATTTGTACCCGTGTATTAATTTCTTTTTGCGCCCATATTTTTAAAAATTTCATTTGTACTCATAATTTTTTAATCTTTTATCTGTACCCTAATTGATTTATAATGTACCCATTCTTCTTTATTGATGTACCACTTTGTTATATGTGAACTGTACCATTTTTTTAACACTATGGACACATTATTTTGCCATTTATTATTTCTTATTGTTACATAGTTTTTATCCATTTACTCAATCAAAATGTTTTGAAATTTTTTATTGTAGCCGTTTCTAATAGTATTATGATGAAGGATTTTAAATTTATAGGATTATAAATCTCATAAAATATCAAATAATTAATGTGAACACTATAAAAATATAAATATTAATAGTAATATAATGAGATGTACAAAGTCAAGGGACTTTGATCAAACTTTGAATATCATTAAGGTTTTAGTAAAAAAATGTTAGAGACTAGGGACCGCATCCAAAGTATCCCTTTTATTTATTTATCCAACTTAAGATCCCCCCTCCCCAATTTTTTTTGGGGTATTTCAGTTAGGTCCTTTGAACTTTGACTCATATTTTACAACTTGCGAATATTATATTTTTGCTTTACAAATCTTATAATCAGAACCGTTAAAATTGTAATTATTATTTCCTAATCTTCTTTAGGGGATCATCATACAAAAAGTAATTCAAATGGGAGGCTATTGAGTATCTATATGAAATAAATTGACGATTTGTTTTGAATACGTTATTTGACACTCACACAGTCAATTTCTTCTTTGACATTCATACAACCAATTTGTTCTATACATTTGGATGCATAAAAAAACACTGATTTAAATTTATGTTTAGAGCTGATTTTCAAAAGAATATCAAGAAATTGAAGTTATTGAACAGTTCTAATTATAGATCTTATACTATGAAGATACGTCATTTGCAAATGGTGAAATATGTACATTGATATGTTAATCGCAAATGGTTAAATATTGTACATTCTGTTCGAAATATATGCTTCACTCGTGGGTGAAGTGCAAAGTATTATTCATTAACTTTTGAATTGGTGATATGCAGAAAATCATTGAACCAACACATGTATATTAAA